GCTCTAATCTAAGTGGAGGTGTTGCAATTCTGTTTTCAAAGAATCTCAATATGACCAATGTATCTTCTTATGAGATAGATAGGGGCAGAATTTTGATTGTACAGGTGGAGCTAATGGGGTTTCCATTTCTTTTTATGAATGTTTACTCACCAAATAATGGAGCAGAAAGGGTAGAATTTTTTACAAAATTATCCAGTGAATTTAAAAAAATTGATAATGCATGTATGGTTCTTGGGGGTGACTGGAATTGTACTTTAGATTTTACATTAGACCGAAATGGTGAAGAACCATATCCTCAGTCTGCTAATTCATTAAGCAGTATCATAAGGAAATATGATTTATCTGATGTATGGAGGGAGAAACATCCAACAGTGAAACAATACACATGGGTTAAAGCCTCTCATGATCATATTAGTGCTGCGAGGTTGGATAGGTTTTATGTAAGTAAAAATAATTCTAATAGAGTTTTAAAAGCTAATATTTTTCCAAATGGTTTTACTGATCATCATTTGTGCATGATTGAAATGAGTTTAAAAAAGTCACAGCGTTGTAGTTATTATTGGCATTTTAATTTGAAGCTGCTACATGACTCTATATTTTGTGAAAAGTTTGGGTTATTTTGGTCTAAATGGCAAGAACAAAAAAATGACTATGAAGATTTAGTGCAATGGTGGGAGATTGGAAAAGCACAAATAAGAATTTTTTGCCAGAACTATACAGCCCACTCAAATAGACTTGTAAAGAACACTATTAAAATACTTGAGAAAGAGATAATTGAAATCGAAAAAGAAATTATTGAAGAAAATTCAGAAGAAGTGGAACAATTAAGAGAAAAAAAGACTGTTTTGGCTTCTTTGTTCAATGAGAGAGCAAAAGGGGCTTTAATAAGAGCCCGTTTCTCCTCATTACGAGAAATGGATGCTCCGAGCTCATATTTTTTCAACCTGGAGCGGAAAGAGGGAGAAAGAAAACTCATGTTACATTTGAAGCTACCAGATGGGACTTTAACAACTAATCCAAAAGAAATGAGAAATCATGCAAAGAACTTCTATACTGACTTATTCAAAGCAAGAGACTGTGACATTAATTGCATGGAAGACCTACTAAGAGACTTGCCAAAGCTCACAGATGATCAGAGACAATGGCTTGATGCTGATATTCAATTGGATGAAATATCAGAGGCGGTAAAGAAACTTTCTAATGGCCGGTCCCCTGGCATTGATGGACTTCCTTCTGAATTCTATAAGAAATTCTGGACTATTTTAAAAGATGATATACTTGATGTTTTTAGATTTTCTCATAGGAAAAATGAAATGCCAACTAGTTGTAGAAGAGCAGTTCTGTCTTTATTACCAAAAAAAGGTGACCTTGGACTGTTAAAGAACTGGAGACCAGTAGCCTTACTGTGCACTGATTATAAAATTCTTGCTAAGTGTCTTGCAAATAGATTGAAACATTGTTTGGAGTATGTTATTAATGCTTTTCAAACGTATTGTGTGCCAGAGAGAACAATAATGGACAATCTTTTTCTTGTACGTGATATAATGAGTTTAGCAAATGCTGGTAATGAGGATGTGGGTTTTCTGTCAATTGATCAAGAGAAAGCTTTTGATAAAGTGGATCATTTTTATTTATTTGAAACTCTTAAAGCTTTTGGTTTTGGTGAGAATTTTATCTCTTGGATCAAACTGTTATACACTGGAGCTTCTGCATTGTTAAAGGTTGGAGGTGGGCTGAGTTATCCCGTATTGGTTCATAGAGGTATAAGACAAGGCTGTCCTTTGTCAGGACAGTTGTACTCTCTAGCAATTGAACCCTTACTATATAAACTTAGGGAGAAATTGCAAGGTTTTCTAGTGAAAGGTTGTGAAAACAGGCCAATCACTCTTTCGGCCTATGCTGATGACATTACTGTTTTTATAAGAAGTGATAAAGATGTAATGATTTTAACAAATGCTTTAAATATTTACGAAAAAGCTTCGTCAGCTAGAGTAAATTGGGAGAAGAGTGAAGGATATTTATTAGGAGACTGGCAGGGAAGGAACCCTCCTCTGCTTCCAGGGGGAGTTAAATGGGGTAGAGCTGGTTTGAAGATGTTGGGAGTGTTTTTAGGAACAGATCAGTATAGGCAGAAGAACTGGGAGGGAATGGTGGAGAAGATGTGTGACCGGTTGTCTCGATGGTCGTGGGTGCTGCCCCAGCTATCGTATAGGGGCAGGGTTTTGGTCACGAACAATCTGGCTGCATCTGCACTATGGCACAAAATGAATGTTTTGGATCCCCCGGAAAGTGTTGTTGAGGAGCTGCAAAGAAAGCTAATTGACTTTTTCTGGGATGGACAGCACTGGAAAAAATCTGCTGTACTTTTCCTACCTGTTCAAGAGGGAGGACAAGGCCTGATGGACATTAAGAACAGAGTAAAGACATTTCGACTGCAAGCAGCACAAAGATTGCTGTATGCTGAACCGTGCTGGGCTGATACAGCGCGTGCTGTGTTGAGGACAACTAATATTTTCAAGTATGATGTGCAATTGTTTTTGATCAAACTGGCCAATATGGAATTAAGGAATGTTTCCCCTTTCTACAAGGCAGTTTTGAGAGCATGGACTTCAACTTTTAAGGTCAAGAGGGTTCTTTCGAATATTGGACTCTGGACAGAGAATGAACCTCTGTTTAATAACCCGCTGATACCAGCACCGGCACTGGAGCCCAGGAGCATTCAGAACGTGATGGCAAGAGCGGGGTGTACAAGAATTGCTGACCTAAAGACTGGTGAAAACTGGAAGAGTCCAGAGGAGATGTGCAGCAAGACAGGTATCAAGTCCATAAGGATAATAAAGAGAATAATGGATGGAATTGTTTCCGCATTGCCTTCTGTCTTCAGACAAAGCTCAGAGGAAAAAGAGGATCCTGAACAGAACGGAGAGAGTGTTTTTCCCCAAGTGGGAGTTTCAGCAGCGGTGGATGAAGAGCCAGAGGAAGGTTCTCTTCTGCATTTCAGGACTCCTGTGCTGGAGGGTTTTGAGACTGTCTCAAAAAAGGCACTGTACAATATTTGCGTGAAGGTGTCCCATTATAACGTGCTCAAAGACTGTAAAGAGACAAAGTGGTCAGATGTGTTCGGGCCAGACTCTTCCCCTAGAGGATGCTGGAGGTCCCTATACAAGCCTCCTATTGAGAAACGCACTGCGGATCTCCAGTGGAGGCTTGTTCACTGGGCGGTAGCTACAAACAGGCACGTGGCACACATTGACCCCACTGTAGGGAAAGAATGTCCTTTTTGTGGCACTGAAGAGTCAGTAGATCATTTGTTTTTAAATTGTTTAAGGTTAAGGGGATTGTTTCAGATATTAGATGGGTGGGTCAGAGATTTGGGGCTAGTTTTTAATAATGAATTTTTTATTTTTGGACCGAAATATGTTGCATTAGACAGGAAAAAAATCTCGTTAATTAATTTTGTGGTTGGAGGAGCAAAGATGGCAATATGGTTAACAAGAAAAAGGAAACTGAAAGGAGAGGGGGAAGTAGGTCCTGAGGTGGTTTTCAAGGCACTTATAGCAACTAGAATCAAGGCAGAGTTTGCATATTTTAAACTAATGAATAATATGGACAGATTCATTGAAATTTGGGCTTTGAATGATGTTTTGTGCTCTGTGGATTATGAAAATGAGTTGGTGTTAAATTTATGAGTAAAAAAAAAAAAAAAAAAAAAAAAGTAATTTTATTCTTTTTTTTTTTTGCTACGTTTATGAGAATATATGAGTCTTGAGTGGATATATATGTGTATTTAACAATGTACATCTGAGAAAATAGATGTTTATGAGGATTGTCTATATAGTGTAAGTATAAATAAAGGTGTGTTAAAGGTCTCTCTCTCTCTCTCTCTCTCTCTCTCTCTCTCTCTCTCTCTCTCTCTCTCTCTCTCTCTCTCTCTCTCTCTCTCTCTCTCTCTCTGCCTCTGTCTCTCTCTCTCACAGGTTCTTCTTCAAGCGAGCGAGCGAGGAGTTCGCGTGCGGGGCGGTGTACGAGGAGGTGCTGCAGGACGAGGCCGCTCTGCCCGTGTTTGAGGCGATGATCACGGCCCGGGTGGAGAGAACCGCTGAGCCGGGCCTGATCTGAACACAGACCCGCTGGCCACGTCCCAGGTCCAGCCATCATCTCACGAAGGGTTATGAGTTATTATCTGCTGCTTTTGAATAAAGTCATTCATTGGAGACTCTGTTTGAATGGTTTTTAATCATAGTTTCTTCAGGTATTATAGTGTTATTCAGCTGTTTAAACAATAAAGGGAAAGAACCCACATGCTATTTTAGTCAAAACCTTTTTGTGTGGTGTTCTTACTAGTGTGGATATCCTTGTTTTGTGTTATAGTGTCTCTTATGCTCTTAAACAGTTGATATTAAACACGCTCAGACATTTGGTATTTTTTTTAAACTGTGTTTACTTAACGGTTCATTAGTTAACATTAGTTCATGTATAAACTAACATGAACTAACAGTGAGCAATGTATTACAGTGTGTATTAATCTTTGTTAATGTTAGTTAAAACAATACAGCTGTTCATTGTTTGTTCAGAGTTAGTTCACAGTGCATTAACTGATGTTAACAAGATTTTAATAAAGTATTAGTAAATGTTGAAATTAATATTAACTAAGATTAATAAATGCTGAAGTATAGCTCATTCTTACTTACCTCATGTTAAGGTTGTTAAATATTGAACCTTATATTGTACAGTGTAACCGAACATACTTTTGTTAGGTTAGCTTTTGTTTTACTTGGCTTTTCTGTTGTATGTCTCGTTTTAAATGTTGTCGTTTTTTAATGTAAGGTTATATTTTATTATATGATTTGTACGTTTTCATTGTATTTGCCCCGTGAAGCGCGCTGTTGTGGTGTGGTAGTGCCGGATGCGGCCGGCGGGTGTCAGTGCACCGGAATCAGCAGCAGCAGCAGTAGAAGAAGAAGAAGAAGAAGAAGTGCTCCGTAGTGTTCGGCTGTGTTGTGGTGTCAGTTTGTTTTCTGCTGACTGACAGACAGCGACGATGGACCCGCTGGACGCGGTTCTGGATGAGGTTGCTCTGGAGGGTTTGGACGGGATCAGCATTCAGACGCTCTGGTTGAGGCTTCGCACCCGTCAGCCCGAGTTCGGGTTGAGTCTGGATCCGCTCAGTCAGCAGTTCATCTGGAGCTGCTTGATCCGAAGCGAGGAGATCCGCTTCTACCTGCTGCCGGAGAGCCGGAGAACCGTCACCCTACACGACCGGTACCCGCCTTTACCACAGGCTTTACCACACTCAGTCACACTGTCTAACACGACCGTTACCAGTCTTTACCACACTCTTACTGCAGTCACACTGTCTCACACGACCGTTAACGTTAACTTACCAGTCTTTACCACACTCTTACTGCAGTCACACTGTCAAACATGACCGTTACCAGTCTTTACCACACTCTTACTGCAGTCACACTGTCTCACACGACCGTTACCAGTCTTTACCACACTCTTACTGCAGTCACACTGTCTCACACGACCGTTACCAGTCTTTACCACACTCTTACTGCAGTCACACTGTCTCACACGACCGTTACCAGTCTTTACCACACTCTTACTGCAGTCACACTGTCTCACACGACCGTTAACGTTAACTTACCAGTCTTTACCACACTCTTACTGCAGTAACACTGTCAAACACGACCGTTACCAGTCTTTACCAGTCTTTACCACACTCTTACTGCAGTCACACTGTCTCACACGACCGTTAACGTTAACTTACCAGTCTTTACCACACTCTTACTGCAGTAACACTGTCAAACATGACCGTTACCAGTCTTTACCAGTAGGGCTGGGCGATATGGCTGAAAACTGTATCACGATATCAGTGTTTCATATCGATATCGATAATTATTGATTTTTTTATGACCCATTTAAAATAAGGACCAGGAGAAAAAATATATTACATTTAAACATTTTTATTTTAAACTTAACCTTCCTCTGATTACAATCCCAAGACAGAAATGTCAACACAACCATGGAAAACTCAAATAATTAAAATGTAAACATAAGTCTAAATTCACAATCAGACCTGCAAACTCCTCAGAGTAAAAAAGGTGACAGTGGCGCGGCGGGACGTGGGTGGTGGGGGTTTGTGATCGTACGTGCCCCCTGCTTGATTTTTTTTTTTGAGACATCACGGTTCGGTACGATTTCGGTACAATGGAGTGAAAAGCAAAACAGAAATATAGAAGGCATTTTTATAAATGTCTTAAGCCTTGTATTTTTTAAATAAGTTTTATTAATAAAGGCATAGAACCAGTTTATTTATAGTGCACTGATAATAGTTTTATATAATTGGTTTATTAATTAAACTAATAAAAAGATAGATATGAGATATGTTTGGTAATTGTACCTGAATGAATTTAAAATTAATTTGCTATATTTCAGATCAATATATTTGTTTTCCTTAATTTTAATTAACCCTAACTTTATTCTCATCAGAATTATAAATAATTGATTTCCGTATAAAATAATCTACCAACACATTTCACTTTCTTTTTTAATCAATGTGTAACTTAAAAATAAACATATAGTGCTCTGTTTTGAGGACAAGAAATGAAAACCAATGCGATATGATGAATGTCCAAAAGATGGAACACACAGACTGTTTTACAAAGGGGTTGGATAAATATGTTTTGCTTTTAAAACGGTGTGTGACAGTTGTAGGTTACAGTTTGACAAGAAATACAGTGTGACAAAAGCACAATGTTGTGTTTTATTGCGAGTATAGGCCTACACAAATATAAGTAAACACTTTGCAGACTGAATGATGTCCTGTATTAACAAAATGACGGAGTATGTTTTTATGTCTCCACTGTTCGATCGCGCCCGCGTGTCTCTCTCTCTCGCGCCCGTGCCTACTCTCTCTCTCTCGCGCGCGCGCCGCACACACACACACACACACACACACACACACACACTCCAGCATTGCAATCTTGACATCGCAGCCTGTTCATTATGCTGTGTTCACATCAAACGCGAATAGAGCGAATTATCCAATAATGTTTCGCAATTCTAGCCTGCATGCAGATGAAGGACACTCATTTTCTGCTTATCAATCGCCGGTTACTGAAGAAGAACCCAGCAGCACGAGACAACGATGGCGCAACCAAACTGACACGTTACATGATTGCCTGAGCGTGTCACTCCCTACGTTGCTAGGTTACCAGAGAGCGAGTGCCTTGATAATGCAACCAAGCTTCGCAACCTGTGGTTTCTTCCGACGAAGAAAAAAAATATCGAACGTTTTATCGAACACATTTTTTATTGATATCGATCACGTGTCTATCGCGATACATATCGTTATCGTTTTATCGCCCAGCCCTATTTACCAGTCTTTACCACACTCTTACTGCAGTCACACTGTCTCACACGACCGTTACCAGTCTTTACCACACTCTTACTGCAGTAACACTGTCTAACACGACCGTTACCAGTCTTTACCAGTCTTTACCACACTCTTACTGCAGTCACACTGTCTCACACGACCGTTACCAGTCTTTACCAGTCTTTACCACACTCTTACTGCAGTAACACTGTCTAACACGACCGTTACCAGTCTTTACCACACTCTTACTGCAGTCACACTGTCTCACACGACCGTTACCAGTCTTTACCAGTCTTTACCACACTCTTACTGCAGTCACACTGTCTCACACGACCGTTACCAGTCTTTACCAGTCTTTACCACACTCTTACTGCAGTAACACTGTCTAACACGACCGTTACCAGTCTTTACCAGTCTTTACCACACTCTTACTGCAGTCACACTGTCTCACACGACCGTTACCAGTCTTTACCACACTCTTACTGCAGTAACACTGTCTAACACGACCGTTACCAGTCTTTACCACACTCTTACTGCAGTAACACTGTCTAACACGACCGTTACCAGTCTTTACCACACTCTTACTGCAGTCACACTGTCTCACACGACCGTTACCAGTCTTTACCACACTCTTACTGCAGTAACACTGTCTAACACGACCGTTACCAGTCTTTACCAGTCTTTACCACACTCTTACTGCAGTCACACTGTCTCACACGACCGTTACCAGTCTTTACCAGTCTTTACCACACTCTTACTGCAGTAACACTGTCTAACACGACCGTTACCAGTCTTTACCAGTCTTTACCACACTCTTACTGCAGTCACACTGTCTCACACGACCGTTACCAGTCTTTACCAGTCTTTACCACACTCTTACTGCAGTCACACTGTCTCACACGACCGTTACCAGTCTTTACCAGTCTTTACCACACTCTTACTGCAGTAACACTGTCTAACACGACCGTTACCAGTCTTTACCAGTCTTTACCACACTCTTACTGCAGTCACACTGTCTCACACGACCGTTACCAGTCTTTACCACACTCTTACTGCAGTAACACTGTCTAACACGACCGTTACCAGTCTTTACCACACTCTTACTGCAGTCACACTGTCTAACACGACCGTTACCAGTCTTTACCACACTCTTACTGCAGTAACACTGTCTAACACGACCGTTACCAGTCTTTACCACACTCTTACTGCAGTAACACTGTCTAACACGACCGTTACCAGTCTTTACCACACTCTTACTGCAGTCACACTGTCTAACACGACCGTTACCAGTCTTTACCACACTCTTACTGCAGTCACACTGTCTCACACGACCGTTACCAGTCTTTACCACACTCTTACTGCAGTCACACTGTCTAACACGACCGTTACCAGTCTTTACCACACTCTTACTGCAGTAAAACTGTCTAACACGACCGTTACCAGTCTTTACCACACTCTTACTGCAGTCACACTGTCTAACACGACCGTTACCAGTCTTTACCACACTCTTACTGCAGTCACACTGTCTAACACGACCGTTACCAGTCTTTACCACACTCTTACTGCAGTCACACTGTCTAACACGACCGTTACCAGTCTTTACCACACTCTTACTGCAGTCACACTGTCTAACACGACCGTTACCAGTCTTTACCACACTCTTACTGCAGTAACACTGTCTAACACGACCGTTACCAGTCTTTACCACACTCTTACTGCAGTCACACTGTCAAACATGACCTTTACCAGTCTTTACCACACTCTTACTGCAGTCACACTGTCTCACACGACCGTTACCAGTCTTTACCACACTCTTACTGCAGTCACACTGTCTAACACGACCGTTACCAGTCTTTACCACACTCTTACTGCAGTAACACTGTCTAACACGACCGTTACCAGTCTTTACCACACTCTTACTGCAGTCACACTGTCTAACACGACCGTTACCAGTCTTTACCACACTCTTACTGCAGTCACACTGTCTAACACGACCGTTACCAGTCTTTACCACACTCTTACTGCAGTAACACTGTCTAACACGACCGTTACCAGTCTTTACCACACTCTTACTGCAGTCACACTGTCAAACATGACCTTTACCAGTCTTTACCACACTCTTACTGCAGTCACACTGTCTCACACGACCGTTACCAGTCTTTACCAGTCTTTACCACACTCTTACTGCAGTCACACTGTCAAACATGACCGTTACCAGTCTTTACCAGTCTTTACCACACTCTTACTGCAGTCACACTGTCTCACACGACCGTTACCAGTCTTTACCAGTCTTTACCACACTCTTACTGCAGTCACACTGTCTAACACGACCGTTACCAGTCTTTACCAGTCTTTACCACACTCTTACTGCAGTCACACTGTCAAACATGACCGTTAACGTTAACTTACCAGTCTTTACCACACTCTTACTGCAGTCACACTGTCTAACACGACCGTTACCAGTCTTTACCAGTCTTTACTGTTAAGTTATGTTTCTTTTACTGCGCATGTGTGAAGAGCACCATTTTATGGGTTAGCGCGGTTTGTTCAGTTGTTGTTCGGTCTGGCGTTCTATGAGAGGTAGAGCGGCTGTGTTAAGTGATGGAGCAATAAAGAATCTATTGTCTGATAACTGTTGTAGTTATTGAATCAACATTGGTAGCAGAGGATGGCTGCTGCTGGGAATTACAAAAATCCCCCACCGTTTGACGAGAAGACGGCTTATGAAAGTTGGAAAAATGAGATTGAAATTTGGAGACGCGTTACTGACCTGGAAAAGAAAAAACAAGCCTTGGCAGTTACTCTGTCACTAACGGGCAGAGCAAGGGACAGTGCTCTGGAAATTTCCGCTGAGGATTTGAATGACGACACGGGAATGCAA